AAGCTTTCACGACGTCAAAGGTGGGTGGCCTGCTGGGAGTGGGCATGGGCGCGGTTGCCCAACCCCCAGCACTCGCTTGGGCTAAGGGTACAGGAGGAGGTAGAGGATAGAATGAGAGAAAAGTACAGAACAACATTCTAACTCTTGGGGATCAAAAGCCAAGATTTATTGGACACCCCCCCCCCACATACACACACACACACAAGACTGTACCCCAAGACACTCTTGACATTTGACACTCGGACCATTCCTGGAAGTCCCCTGCCAGCCAAAAGGCTGAATGGCTCCTAAATGAGTCCTGTCGCCTGTCCCACGCTCCTCCCCCGAACACCTCTAAGTGTGCCTTCTAGTCACCCCTCAGCCTGGACCAGACAGCGGCTGAGAGAGGACGGGACGGGGAGCCAGCAGCGTGGGAATCGTTGCGAGAATACTGCAGACGCGTTGTAAGACGTGCACACGATGCCACTCAATAATCAGAACTTGCTGGGGGCGTGGAGTCTGTTTCCAATCATAGCGACCCGTGTGCAGAACCGAGCAGACCGCCCCGTCCCCCCTGTGCCGTCCTCACCACCGTCCCCAGGTTCGAGCCCATCGTGCAGCCACTGCGCCCTCGTCTCCTTCAGGGCCTTCTTCCTTCTCACGGCCCCGAACTTGACTGACGTCCTTCTCCAAGGAGGCGGCTCTGTGAAAACCGAGTGTGTCGTGTAAATTTCTCCAAAAACACAGGCGAATAGATAGTTTTTGGGAAAGACGTGCCCCCCCCCTTGGGAGAAAAGATTGGCCATGATCCCTAAAAGTCACCAGGTGTCTTCTGGGTGTCGTGCCGTGGTGGCTTGTGGGTTGCTGAGATGCCGGGAGCGATGTCACTGGTATTTCAGATACCAGCAGGGTCACCCAACGTGGACAGGTGTCCGCAGGGCGTCCGCAAGGAAGGGATAGGCTGCCCACTCCTGCGGTATGCACCACAGAAAACCTTCTGGGTTACCTGGACGCATTGCCAGATCCTGAACGCCTCGCCGCCTTCCCAAGCGCATTGTCAGAGAGAGAGGCAGGCGATGGGCCCCCTCGTGTTGGAAGGCACTCGCAATGTGACTGTGGAAGAGCTGCCTTCTTCCCAAAGTCGAGCCGACCGTGATGCCTAGCAAGAACAATGGCATCCCAATAAGAACAGCAGCAGCCCTCCCGGGAAGTTAGGGCTGGGCGGGCCGGCAGGACAGCCTTGATTTGGGGCATGGGCCCAGTAAGTCGCCTTCAAGTTAGCCAGTGAGCCCTCTGAGAAGAGCCGGGCTCTGCTGGGCCTTCAGGGACTGGTTTTTCAGAC